CCGAGCGGGATCGCCCCGGGGGGCCCAGCGCGCACCACGCAGGACGGGCAGCGCGGCCGGGCGGGAGCGAGCGACGGAGCGAGCGAGGGCAGGAAGCCCGACCGACCGGCACCCACCTGGTGCTAGAGTGGTTAACGGCGCGAGGGTCCTCAACGACGTCGTAACTGTCTCGTTGGTGGGCGAAGTCGTCATATTCGGGGCCAGGGTGCTGGGCTCAGCGGCGGTCAGCACACAGAGCGCGGCCAGGCAGGCAGCAGCCCAGAGCAGCAGGCGGGAGAGCTCCGACATCGCGACCTCCGCGCTGGTGTTCCGGCGACAGCTGCGGCGCACGACTCCTCGACTGCTCACTCTTGTCTCCAGCGGCGCCGCCTCCAAGACTCTGCTGCCCCCTCGGGAGCGCGCTAGGATCACGTGCGGGGCCGCGGAGGAGTAGAGGGGGGTGCGGTCGATACCAACTGGAATACTACGGGAGCGGGAACAGAGGCATCGAGAAGAAACTGAGGGATGCTGTGCCTCAAAGAGACTAGACTATACCAAGAGAACTGGAGACACACATGAAACTATTTTCTTTGCCCTAAGATTACCACAGAGGACGCAACTGGGCTTGTCTTGTTCCTGCAATAAGGACATCTCCCACCCTGGCTTGGATGGAACCACCTACGTGACGTGGCGGCGGCGTCCGCCAAAGCAACCAGCGAGGCTGTAATCCCGGCCCCACGTGACAGCGGGGCCCCGCCTCCGCGACCTGAGTCCCCCCCTCCCCCCGGGCGGAAGTTGATTCGTTGCTGCGAAGCCTGGGCAAGAATTAAATTTGTGCTGTGCTTCCGGGTTCCCAAGGTCTTGCATATATACTTAATAGGACCCGTGCTTTTTACCTTGGAATTCGACTTTTCTGGAAGTCACCCCGTGTTGGGACTCCCCAGGGAAATGGAGACCACGTGGTTAAGGGGTTTCTGCTCCTCTGCCCACGTAGTGTGAGCCGCTGAAACACCGTAAACGGCCTTAAGCCTTCCAGCCAGAGCCGCACACCTGCCTTTCACACTTTCCCAGCCTGACTTTTCCGAATTTCTTGCTATTTCAGCCAGCGGTAGCAGCAGCCAGTCAATGCCATCGATATAGTCAGAAAATCGAAGACGATCCGAGTTGGAAATCATCTGATGGGCTCCTACCCCCGCACTTTACTGGTGAGTAAGCAGATTCATAAAAGTGACTTGACCAAAGCACACAGATTGCTCGGCGGCAGGGCTAGATTTCGAAATGCCTGTTAATTTTCTGTCACTGCTCGGGCTTTTAGTAAGGGCGAGCGCCATCTGATGCCCAATCTCACAGAAACATTCACAACTGCAGCCATGCTTACATCAAAGGGTAAAAATTGGATTATAAAAGCTAAGTATTTAATGCCCTCTGTTCTCAGCTATTTGTATTTATCATGTAACCTTAATTATGCACATCTACGGATTTGTCGTCCTGGGTCATGCAGTTTGAACCATCAGCAGCAGGACTTGATGGAGAAGACAAACATGTCCACCGTCTTGGGGTTTGTGGGGCTCTTTTATAGAAGGAGTTTGGAGCAGAAAGATAAAAGTTGATTTTAAAGAATTTACATTGGCTATAGATAAGGGGGCAGGAAAAGGTGAAGTGAGAAAATTCTGGGACAAGTGAATACCCATAAGGAAGAAGTATTTGAAAGTTCCTGTGTAAGCAGGATGCCAACCGGAAATTGATACAAAGTTTCAGCATTCAGGAATGTGAGCAGTCCTTTATGGGTTTTGGCATTCTGGCTGTTAACTGGTTCATTTCCCATGTCTCTTCCACCCTAGGGCCTGCTGTTAATTTAATTTAGGACATCATTTTTCTCTTGTCAGCACTTTACCTTTTGTGGCCTAAATTCGAAAGCTTTTATAACTCCCTAGATTCTAATCTTTGGGGGTCCTTCTGTAGTCTGATAATTATGGACATACCTTACATTGACTACACTTGTTGGAGATTTACTCAGATGTAAAGAAGAAACTGATGATTTTTCAACTGATCCAGCCTATGACCAGAAGTATGAGAGTGCAGCCAAGTAAAGTAAGTGAGGTCCCATCATCAGCCTTCAGTGAACCGTCTGCTCTTCTCTCAGGATACCTCTCACATAGTATTTATTTAGCACACGACTGACACCGAGACCAAATGAAGGCACTAGTCAACTTTTATATTTTTTAAGGTTAAAAATATAATAAAATTTCTATTTTCTTCCCATACCCCAGTGGATTATCTTGTTTATGCCCTAGAATGAACACACCCCACTGTGGAGGCCATTGTTTTACAATTTGTCATCTAGGTGTTCAACTCTAGTCCTCAGATTTTTGTAAGTTCTTATAACAAGACATTTCACTGCCTTGTTTTAAGACTAGAAAAGCACCAGCTTATTTTATTTTACATGGCATCTGTTCAGCTAGATCAAGGAAGACTTCCAAAGTCATTTTCACCATTCCACAGCAAGGACTGGTATCTGTAATAGTTTTAACAACATGTGTTAAACCTTGTGTAATATTTAAATATTTCATCCAAATTAGAGAAAGATTGTAATGTCAAAGATTAGTAGTGAGCTAAAACTGTGTATTCAGATTATTAGTATTAACACCATGATTAGGATTGGTATTATATTAGAGATCTCTCATTAGGAGACCCTTGACTTTGACTGTATACTTCTTTGATAACTGTTCCAGGGTTTCAGAGGGAAGCATTACACTTTAGGGCAGTTCTCATCCTTGGCTGAACATAGGAACCATGTGGGAAATTTTGAAAAATACTGATGTCTGGGTACTGATTTAATTAGTCTGGAATAATGCCTGGGCATCAAGAGTTTTAAAAGCTCCCCAGGTGTTTCTAATCTGCAGCTTAGGTTGAAAGTCATTGCTTTACTCTAGCTTCTCAAAATGTGGTTCATGAATATCACTCATACCACCTACAAATTTCTTAGAAATGCAAAATCTCAGGCCTCACGTCAGGCCTCCTGAGGCAAAATCTGCCTTTTAACGAGATCCATATGTACATGTTTACGCCTATGAAAGTTTAAGACTGCTTTACACTATCACCTCTGGAGAACTATTATAATTCTGCCTCCTAAATTTAGCTACATTTCTTAATAGTGAATAGTCTACAAAATTACATAAAGCAAGACGTAAAGGTTTTGATTCTTTGTTTTTTTGTTTGTTTTAGAAATGTAAAGTCAGGGTATGAGCAGCATAAGACTCCTGGATGTGCAGGAGTCACAGAGCCCAGCCTAGGTTCTCTCTAGGCTGGCACCTGAGATGCATTTACTTTTATTTCTATTCCACTTCAAACCCTGGGTCTGCTAGAACTTTTTCCATGATATCTTTTAGTCCTTTAGGAAACAGAAGAAAGCCTTTTTCTAACTTCGTTTCTTAGGAACAACCCCCAGGTTCAAGCTAAACTACACCCCAGGCAGCTTCCTGATAACCCACATTAGCTACTACTTCTCCTGTGCCCAGGCATCCATTGTGCTCTGAATCCTGTCTTGTTGAGCTGATTTTCAGCCAGAACACACCCGGATGGGCATTTTGGTTATTAAAATATTCAAGTGATTCTGTAATGACTAGTAAAGAGCACTGCCCTGTGGAGCCCAAGTATCCCAGTCCCTCCTCCAAGACCCTAGACTGCCATGCTGCCTCTTAAGCAGCTGGAGGGCTTGCCTCCCACCTAGCCAGGAGCACGAGGACCCTGCTCCAGGCCTCCAGTCTCCCTTCTATAACTGATCAAAGTTTGCATATCTCCCTGCTGCTTTGATAAAATCAAACTTTCTTGTCTCATCATCTTTCCTCTTTCTTTTCTCTTGTCACACTTCAGTTTTACAACTTTCATCTTTCTTTCACATACCAGCATGCCACAGTCTCTCATATAGCTATATCTTTAATACATCCCAGTGGTTAACGTGTGGTCTCCAGACCAGCAGCATCAGCAACACCTGGAACATGTTAAAAATGCATATTTTTCTGCCCAGTCCAGACCCACTGAATCAGAAACTGGGATGAGACCCTGGAATCTGTGTTTTGAGAGGCTCAAGCATTTCTGGTACACACTGAAGAAAAAGATCCTATGATTTATCACATTTTCAAAGCCCCCTATCAAATACCAAACCTTGTAATCTATATTGCATATGTTACTATTGAGTTTGTTACAAATATTTTGTATGTTACATAAAATTTATTTCAGATATGGACTGACCAGATTTACCAGTTTTAATTTGTGATTCCATTTGGGGAAGGGTAGTGAATAGTATAATCAATATTGTACTAGTTTAAAAGATGAGTTTCCATACAGGAGAGAGCATCAGAGTTGTACTAGAGAATTTTAATTTTGAGGATGAATTCAGTCAATTGAAAATTAATATGATATTAGTGAGAATGAGTAATACTGAACATAACAGGGACTTGATGTTTCTTGAAATGATGATATTCTCTGTCCGTGGCAGCTTGACTGTTTTTTCTGGGTTGATATTCCAGAAGAGAAACTAATTTTTATTCAGTATCTGCTATGTGTCAAGCATCATGAGAAGTATCTTCAGATTATCTCAGTCCTCAGACCAATATGAGATAGATGTACACCCCCATTTTACTAATGAAATTAAGGCCCTAAAGCAAATAATAGTATTGTTATTGATCTTATAAATTTACTCAGAGAATCACTAAAGTGATTAGAACCAGAAGCAAGCCAACACCTTTATTTCTGTTCTTTTTACAAATGAGGAAAGTAAAGGTTAAGTGATTTGACCGTCACATTGCTAGATAGCTGGGACTAAAACAAACACTCCTAATTTAAAATATGTATAAAGAGTAAAAACTCAGAGTATGGGATCCTGAGGTTTCCAGACTATTCATTAATTAACAAATAACTGGTACTGTTTGCAGTTGGGGCAAACACATTCTTTAGATAGAATTTTAAATGTTTACCTCAAATCTCCCAAAATAAGAAAAATGTCCAGATAACACACTCCTCTTATTAATGTGGCTTATTGTAAGACACAGCCTATGCACTTGATTCTGCCATATCACCCATTAGGGCAAGGTCATATAACTAACATTTTGTATAAATCATCAGAATGCCTTTACTCTCATATTCGTAGACTTGGAAAAATCTAGAATTCCTTCTGTTTAATTAAATCAGAGTCTTATATTTGGAGTTAATTGTGAGTCCTTTGTAACAGTTTTTCCAAACATGTTTAAACATACAAATCATTCTAATACATTTTATATTCTGATACAGAAGTATTAGTGTGTACCTTTAAGTGGGGGTAACAAGGACCACTGCATATACAGATCAGTAAAGCTTCTATACAGCCTGAAAGTGAAAAGTGAGAGGGAACAAAGGGACTGTGAATGTGCCATTCTTTGGAAAGTTTGCAGCGTTTACAGTGCTCCCTAAACTGAAAAATAAAGGGAGCTGGAATCAGTTGATTACACCCATGCAGGTAACCCAATTCTTTCACATAAAATAATGTCTTAATATATGGGTTCTTTGCCAGTAAGAATTGCTCTGCTGCTTGTTATCACGTGATCAATGCTTTTGTTTTAACCAGGATCTCTAGAAGCATCAGTTTCTTTAATCGCGTGCTTCAGTAGCTGGTGAGAGTCCCGGTGATGAGCCCCTTTCAGATGTTCGCAGTGTGACCGCAGGAACGCAGCCAAAGACCCAGAGAGAGCATCTGGAGGCTTCAAACAAACAGCCCGAGTTCTCAGCTTGGCCGAAACTCTTTAAGAATAGAGGAACAGGAGGTAGCTCCTCCTCAGTGATCCCCAAATTTGGCTGTTAAGCAGAGACATTGAGGAGCCTTTAAAGACCCAAGTTCCCGCCGGAGCCAGCGGGCGTCCAGCAGCATGTTCGGCTCGAGCCGAGGCGGCGTGCGTGGGGGGCAGGACCAGTTCAGCTGGGAGGACGTGAAGACCGACAAGCAGAGGGAGAACTACTTGGGCAACTCGCTGATGGCCCCGGTGGGCCGCTGGCAGAAGGGGCGCGACCTCACCTGGTACGCCAAGGGCCGGGCGGAGGGCGCGGGCCTGAGCCGCGAGCAGGAGCTGGCGGCCGTGAAGCAGGCGGAGCAGGAGGCGCTCATGGCCGCGCTGGGCTACAAGAACGTCAGGAAGCAGCCCACCGGCCTGAGCAAGGAGGACTTCGTGGAGATCTGCAAGCGCGAAGGAGGTGACCCCGAGGAGAAGGGAGTGGACCGGCTCCTGGGCCTGGGGAGCTCCAGCGGCTCCGCGGGCCGAGTGGCCCTGTCCCGGGAAGACAAGGAGGCGGCCAAGCTGGGGCTGCCGGTGTTCACGCACCACGGCGCGCAGGGCAGTCGGGCCGCCTCCTCCCCCGCGCGGAAGAAGCCGAGGCCGGAGGAGAAGGCGGAGCAGGGCCCCCCGGGGCACAAGAAGAGCAAGAAAGAGAAGAAGAAGAAGAAGAAGCACAAGAAAGAGAAGAAGAGAGAGAAGGAGCACCGGGCCGGGGCAGCCTCGCAGTCCCCGGCTCTGGCCAGGGCCCGCCACCGCAGGCGCGACTCGGGCTCGCCCCGGAGGAGGAGGGGGCGGGACAGTGACTGAGGCCCCGCCCACCAGGACCCGGCCCTCCCGGGAGCCGGCGCAGTGAAGGCTTTGAGCATGTGCCCTGCCAGGCCCGGGGAACTGGAGGGCAGGTTTGTGGGGCCGTGTCGGGCCCCTGTAAGCAGACGGGGGGCCAGGTGAGGCGTCAGCCCCAGATGGCCGCAGGCCTACGGGGGGAGGGAGGTCCACCTGCCTCAGGCTCCAAGCACCGCTCCTTTTTTCTTTGTGTTGACTCACCCTTTGTACTTAAACTTATTTTAAGCTGAAAATAAAAAATACAAGTTCCTGGGCAACACCCCGAAGGTTTACACTGGTAATTTATTGAGCATACATTTATTGAGCACTTACAGTATAAGAGGCCCTATTCTAAGTCTTGTATATAAATTATTGATTCCGTGAACCCTCACAACTGTATGTGGTAGGTATACTGTTTTGAGATGAAGAAATAGAGGTGCAGTGAAGTTCTTGCCTGAACTTTTACAGAGAGAGAATGTTTTATAAAGTATGTGCCAGTTTTCAGGAGTTAGCAGTGGTGGGGGGCAGGGGAGTAGGTGTAACTATAAAGGGGTAGCCCGGGGATGTCTGTGTCTGTGGCCCTGGAAAAGTTCTGTGTCTTGATTGTGGTGTCAGTCACATGAATTTCTACACATGATAAAATGACAGTACATGTACCAATGTCAGTTGCCTACTTTGGTGCTATACTGTAGCTGTCTGAGATACGCACATTGGGGAAAGGGTCACTGGTACACAGGACTGCTCTGTACTATTTTTGCAACTTCCTGTGAATCTATAATTTAAAAAAAAAAAAAAAGCAAATGCTTACCTTTGGCAAACCCCAAGTCTATAAGACTGACTCAAAGAGAGATCATGTTTGAAAACAAACCTGCTAAGGGCAAGAAAAGCACAATGGCTGTGGGCAGAGAAGGAGCACTGTGGCAGTAGCAGCTGAGCAGGGTCACCACTCAGAGTCCAGCATGGCACAGACTATAAAAAGGGGCTTGAAACAATTATGTCTTGCAGTGATTCCCAAATGACTAGTGCCCAGCATGCTAAATAAGAACCTCTGGGGAGAGAGCTAAATGAATGCACAGAATCCCTGTCTCACACATCTTAGAGACTTGAGTAGGTCAAGGACAGGATCCAGCAGTCTTATTGAAAAAGTTCCCCAGAAGCCTGGCTGGCGTGGCTCAGCAGTTGAGCATCAACCTATGATCCAGGAGATCGTGGTTCAATTCGGGGTCAGGGCATATACCCCAGTTGTGGGCTCGATCCCCAGCGGGGGGCCTATAGGAGGCAGCCAATCAATGACTCTCATCACTGATGTTTCTATCTCCCTCCCTCCATTCCTCTCTCTGAAATCAATAAAGACATTTAAAAAAAGAAATTCCCCAGGTGACACGGGTTTGAAATTTTCAGATTAAGGAGCTACTAATAAAGCTGGATCACCAATAACATCTCTTGAGTTAACCACCACGGGGACTGCAACCCAAGCCCTTGGTTGGTATGGCTCCAACAAGCATGCTGTTCATTTATAAAAACATCCAAAGATGGCCTTTTCTGAATGCTATGTATAAATAATGAAATACAACAATTATTTTTTTCTGTTGTCTCTCTTAGTTATTTGCTAAGTTTCTCATGGCAGATAATATAGTTACAACATAATTACAATGTTTTAGGATTTGCCCTGGCTGGAGTGACTTGGTTGAGTGTTGTCCCATGTACTGAGAGGTTGCTGGTTTAATTCCAGATCAGGGCACATGCCTGGGTTGTGGGCTTGATCACCAGTAGGGGATGTGCAGGAGGCAGCTGATCAATGGTTCTCTCTCATCAATGTTTCCCTCTCCCTTCCTCTCTCTAAAATCAATAAAAACATTTAAAAAAAATTTTCAGGATTCAAAAGCCATTCATTAGGTAATGCTGTAAATTAAGAATGGTTTTGGCTACAAGTAACAAAATACTCAACCAACAGTAACATAAACAAGGCTCTATTTTTCTCATATAGGAAGAAGTCCAGAGATAGGTAGCTGTGGGTATTGGTTCCACAGGTCAAGAGTTGGGACTGCCATCTCTGCATTTCTCTTGGCCTTTCTCTCACGGCTGCAGCCTCTCTGCATTCAAGACGGTATGAAGGGGAAGGGGCAGCACCACTGGCATTTTACTCTTGTCTCACTGGTCAGAATTGTATCCCATGGCCACTCCTGGAAGTAAATGAGGCTGGGAAGTTGAGTTTTGTGCTTCGATAGTCTATGGCAGAGGCAAGAAAGGAAAATGGGGAGATGCTGGGTGTTGTGTAAACTAACCTACAGTGTCTGCCACAGCTTTCAAATTAAATTTTATCAAGCATGGTTTAATTAAATCTAGAAACAACTGATCAGATACATAATGATATACTGTTGGAAAATATTGATTTGAAAATCAAGCATAAAAATTTCCACTGTCAATAATTGTACAGTGTTGTTTTGGTCTTTCATTCTCTGTTGGAACCAATTCTAGTTGTTGAAGAACTTCTGTTCCTTCAATCAACTGCCTAATATAGGAGAAAAAGTGGAAAATTTAGTCAGTCGTACATTTTCACATTTAGCTTACATTCCTAAATTGAGTCCTATCTAGCTTAGCTAAGGATGTTACCTACAAATTAAATTAACATCAGTCATAAATATCTTAAATAGCTCTAAATACGTCCAGGTTGCCATGGTTGCCCCACATATATCTGGGACCCTTCCAATCTGTTATTCTTACTACCATCAGGGTGATGTTTTAAAAATGCAAATCTGATCTCACCTCCCTGCTTAAAGTGCTTCAATAATTTCCCATTATCCTTATAATAAAACCTGAAATTTCTACCATGGCCAGCCTCCCCACACTTCTCTAGGGCTGTCTTGCAGCATGCTCCCCTTGCCCTCTCTGCTCCAGCCAGACTGGCTTTTAGTACCTCAGTAGCACCTTGAGCCCTTCCTGCCACTGCTGTCTCCTTTGCTCTTGCCCCACTCCCAATCCCTCTGCCTGGTCACTTCCTGGCCTTCCTCCAGATCTTAGATTATTCATCATTTCCTTGGGGAAGTTTCCCGGAACTCTTTATAGGAATTATCAGGGTTAAAACTGACATTTATTTGTATACTTCTTTGATTCATTCCTGATTCTCTTATGAGGCAGAGATGATGCCTTTGCTTAGTGCTCAGTTCCCAGCAATACCTAGCACATAGCAGACACCTAATCAACATCCACTGAATACATGAATAAAAGACAGCTCAAAGCCATGCTAGTTTGGGACTCTGTAGACCTTCACTGGCCATGAGATAGAACTCTGAGTGGAGCTAATCTGATGGTTCTCTCAAAAGAGACACAGCCCAAAATATAAGACCAGTGCCCTCTACCAATGCTTGGGCTGAGGCACAGCTGAGGGGAAGGTGCAATTTCCATTTCATGAACCTCTATAGGGACGTGGTCAGGCTAACACTGATCATGCTCTAGTCATCCTTGCCACTGGGCTCTATTTTTGCCAAACCAGTCAGAAACCATGACAGAGCAGGACACAAGGTACATTCTGAGGATGAAGAGCAGGGGAAAAGGGACAGATTCACCTCTGTTCAAAGAGGATGTGAAGCCTATTTTCCAAACTGGTTTCACAAATACTGAAGAAGCAACTACTGTGTGCACCTCTCCACTACTGTAACAGGCGTTAGGTCACAAGATGAGTGAGACCCAGTCCCTACTTCACGTTGTTCACAGTGCCAAAGAGGACAAATAACCAATTTCATTTTGGTAATCAGGGAGGTTTCTGACCTAAGCCTTGAATGAAATTTTGGCAGACTGAACAAATAAGCAAAGGCTCAGAGGTTGTTCGGGGAGTGACAGTATTCTGGTCTGACTGTAGCTCAGTTGCCATGTTGACAGCTTCCAAATCTACACCTCCAACCCTTGCCCAGCTTGAATACCGACTCCTGGGATTCTGAAGTTGCCACCTGCCTATTGTATCTTAATCCAAATCCTAACTTGCCCATCCTGGATTCATGACCTTCTCTCCCATAGTCTTCTCCTTGTATTCTCTATCTTGGAGAGTGGCACCAACCATTCAACAAGTTCCCAAATCCTAGGAGTTCCTCTAGGCCTTCACTACCCAATATAGGCACGTGTGGCTATGCAAATTTAATTAAAATTAAATAAAATTTAGTTTCTCAGTTGCATTAGTCACATTTCAAGTGCTCAATGGCCACATGTAAAATTGTGGTTAAATTTAACACTGGCAAAAAATTTCTCCATGGGGTGAAGGGTTAATGATTATCCCTATGGAATGGCTGGAATAATCTAATACTTACTCTAAAACATTCTAACATTTCACATCATTTCAGGGAAGACAAAGTAAGCTTAAGCTTCAGTGTATATTCACCTTAATAATCAAGTAGCAATATGAAACACTGGAGTGATGAAAAGTATATTCATCATCCATTTTAGGTCCACAGGCCTATAAGCATCTTGCTAATAATATTCTAATAATAATTACCTGAGCTATTTCCATATTTTAAATTGTTAAGTGAAAAAAGTTACTCTCTTCACAGTGTTCATGGACAATTACTTAAATGGTTTCACCTCACTTCTACATCTATCTCTAAATTATTAATACTATATGGTATTATTCACAATAATTAAGAATTGATAATATCCTTGAGGCTGAACATGATGGATGGATGGATGGATGGATGGATGGATGGATGGATGGATGGGCAGATCATTATAACAGCTGTGCCTCCTAAATGGTTTCTATGTTTTTTATAGATAGCAAGTTTCTTACAAAATATTTATTTCTAAACACGTTTGTATTTGTATTACTTTTTTATATTCTATCTTAGTTACCAATAGACTTCATATAATAGTTAATCCAAATTTTTAACCACATTATTACATATATGAATATAATAGACACAAACTTACAATACACATACCCAAAAGCCACATATTTTTTATCTAGATAGGGAGCCGATTGTAGCGTGATGTAGAACTGTGAACCATTACTGTGACGGCCTTTGTTGGCCATTCCAAGAACTCCCCTTTTATTATGAGGAATTGAAAAATTTTCATCTAGAAAAGACAATGAACAGTAGGTCATTAAAATATTTCTGTTATCTAGGTGGATTGTAACACGTAAAGCTCAATTGTACTTATCAATACATTCCAAATTGCAAATATTCTATTTGTCTCATATTACTCTCACTCAGCTAGGCTGTTAAAAAAGATAAGCTGTAGCCCGGCTGGCGTGGCTCAGCAGTTGAGCATCAACCTATGATCCAGGAGATCCAGGTTCGATTCCGGGTCAGGACACATACCTGGTTGCGGGCTCAATCCCTGGTAGGGGGTGTGCAGAAGGCAGCCGATCAGTGACTCTGATCATTGATGTTTCTCCCTCTCTCCCTCCCTCTCTCTTCCTCTCTCTGAAATCAATAAAAGCTTTTTTAAAAAAAAGGTAAGCTAGAAAGTCTTACTAGAACTATTTGAACATTTACCTTTAGTTTATCATTACCATAGCCTAAAACAAGTATACTAAGAAAATAAATAATGTAAAGGGAAGCACATATTTTGCTTAGGATTAAAGGTCAGCAAATTTTCTTGTGCTGTTTTGTCAGTAGTACTTCATTCAAACTGCCAACCAATGTGATAATTAAAAATGCCTTTGAGAAGGCTTTCTGGGACATGACTCTTCCCCTCACAGCATCCTATACAGACCTCTACTGGGTCTTTATAGCACTCTATGTAATTGTTTACATGATTGTTTCCTCTCTAGTATGTGAAAGCAGCGACTCTGTCTCATTATAGCTTTACCCCCAGGGCCTCCTATTACATTACCTGGCTTATATGTGGCCTTAAATGTTGATGATGAAAGGAAATTAATTTATGCTTATTTGTAGTAGTCTTTAAATAAATTTTAATCTCAAACTTTTATGGATTGACCAAGATTTTGTGGAAAGTGGTTTTTTTTAAGTGTAATATTAACAAGCAAAAAGAATTGTATCGTAGTTATTCTACCATTTCCAGGAAGTACCATTTCCAGCATGAAATAAGATTTGCATCCAAACTCAGAAACACAGAAGGAAGTGGTGGAAGAGAGAAAGCCAGTAAAAGTTTTCATTCAATAACTTTATAAGGTTCTGGGAATAATTGAAAGATATGAATATTAACTGTCAATAAGATTTTCTTAAATTGCAATTTCTGACCATTCTTATTTTAAGTTTCAAAGCTAAGCCAACTAAGCAGTTAAGCCATATCTGTGATGGTTACTTTAAGCTTGTTAAATTGCAACCTGAATAAATACCTCTGAAATCTTATGAAATGCAAATAAAGCATTTTTATACAATGAGTCTATATAATTACATAGATGCTCCATATTCATTTCAGTGGAACAGAGAAATATCCATTAATTTCACAGAAAATTGCTTGGGATAGAAATCTGCCCTAAGATTCAGTTTTCACAAAATGGTTTTTGTCATTGCTCTTAGATATTATGATTAATTTTTCTTAAATTCTCTAAGTAATAGAAAAGACAATTTATAGAGTTGTAACACTTTTACCAAAAATTTGTTGTTATGGGAGAGCTTTTAAAGCAGTTAATCCTAATACCTATTTTAAAAATGCTACCTGTGTGAGAGCCCATGTATAAAACAGATAAAATGGGCTAGAGCCCTCTGAATACCTCTTCACCATCTCATGAACTCCTCACAGGGCAATCTGAAAACCACTGCTATAAAGGGGTAGAAAGAAAAAATGTTTTTAAAATGTGTAGGTAGTTCCTGAATTACAAATTTTAAATGTGTTGACCTGAAAAAAATGTGTGAAAAAGAAATAAGTACGTTGTTGATTCTGTAAGAATACTGATGTGAATCTTAAGGACCTGAGGCTGTGCTGCTTCCAGACCCTCAGTGATGACAGGGCAGAGGGAAACCGCTCCGTGACTGGCTGTGTCACAAACAGGTAAAGCCCTTGGGTGCAATTCGATCTGCTCCTGGAAAGCATCCCATTTATTTGGGGAGGAGTGGAGAGCCATCTTCTCCCTTCCTGTTCTCTCCACAATTCTGGCCTTTGCCCAGAATTACAAGCTGTGGTGACCCTCTTCATATAAACTTGACAGGAGCTGCAGTTAGGACTGGGCTGTTGGCACCTGTTTCTGTGCCAAAGCTTGTTACCCACTTAAAGATGGGAGCCAATGGCATAATAGAGTTCAAAACAGAATTTTTTCCTTAAAGGAGCTTTACTTAAAAATGGCTATCCTAATAGTATATTTACACTAATAGAGAAATATTTTTCCACAAGTAACAATATTAAAATGGATAATGAAAATCTACGTTTTATTCAACGTTTATTAATTCACCAAATATTTATTGAATGCCTACTGCATTCCAAATGCTGTGGTAAGTACTGAGTTTAACACTTATGACTTATATAAAAAATGTAAATTTAATCTGCTCACATAATTTTCTTGACAGGAAAAAAACACCCTTAAATCAACAACCATTTTTCCTTTTCTCCCACCATGTCTGAGTGGGACAGTTAACTAATTATTATGGATTATTTTAATTTTATCAGCAGCCCTGAATGGAAAGGAAAAATGTAAACAATCTACAAAAAAAAAGTTTTGAAGTAGGAAGAACAAAAGAAATACCTGTTTTTAATTGCTGGGCAAAATTAGGAAAATAACATTTGTGAATGCTGGTTAAATCAGAATATTTAGTAAATTTTATTTTTAGGTCATGTAACAGGCATGGGCATTCAATAAAGAGTAAAGGAAGTTAAGGAAATTTAAAGGTTATGGTAGAAACTCAGAACCCTCTCATTACATGGTCAGTGACTCCGGAGTTCCTGCTTGCCTCTGTCACTTATAGGAAGATACGGAGCAGCAGTAGTCTTCCTGCTCTGTGATTAAAATTGACATCACTTGTAACGTACAACATTAAGAGTGAAATAGACCTGCTTGTTTGAAATAAAAACCAGAATTTATGTGAAAAAATCAGTTTCTGAATTTATTTAAAGCTCATTCTGATACAGAGATCAGAAGGGAGAGAATGTGAGGGCTGAATTGTGTGATCCATAAAGACTAGGACAAAGTGGGAGAAATGGTGTGAAAGGATCAATGGGGAGCAGGCCGGAAGGAACATGGGGGTTTGAAATGTAAAGATTATTTCAATTTCCAAGAGAAACATCATAATTCAGAAAAATAAAGGTCATTCTGATACTTATTGGAAGCAACTACTTTAAGTGTGGGAAACTGCACTGCATTCTCTCTAGTAAAAGTATAATCAGACAGTTTGGGACATGTCCAAAAATTTTTCTAAGGACTCTTATGTCTAGTAGACAATCTGACCTCAGTCCTGCAATATCAGTTTTTAAAAACTACTACTCTAATTTTACCATGAATATTTTAATAACAGCTATTCACTAATTATTTCTTGTTATAGAAAAGTAAATGAAGTGTGATGCCTAGCTAGATGGGTATTTTTTCCATTGATTTTTAAAAATATGAGTTTATTGATTTTAGAGGGAAAGGGATAGAGAGATAGAAACATCAGTGAGAGAAAAACATCAACTGGCTGCCTCCTGCACGCCCCCTACTGGGGAATGAGCCAGAAACCTGGGCATGTACGGGGACCGGAATTAACTGGTGACCTCTTGATTCATGGGTCTCCATATCCTGCATAATTCTGATTCAGTTCCTAGCAGTACCTCCCAAATGTGAGCCTATCCTAGAAGAGAGCCATTTCAGATCAGTTTTGAGAGTCACAGAGGTCAGACTGCTCAAGTCACTTTGAACCTTCCTACGGGCCCCATGCATGCATCAGCTATTGGCTGTTTGGGGGTTCTGTTGTTCTCGGGTCCCTCAGATGCCTTGTGTTCTCCCACACAGATTTCAAGGCTGTTGGCAGACCATGGCTGTTGGCAGTCTGTCCTCACCTGTTTCTACTTTGGAATTTATGTAACTTAGCTTATCACCTAGTTTTGTTGTAAATGTTATCTATGGGTTTTCAGTTTTTCTATCTAATTCTTTCATCTGTTTTTATGTTGGGAGTTTAAAAATTAAAAAACTATGCCACCCCCACTACCATCTTCCCAGGATCGCAGACAGCCTAAACTGAAGGACAATCAAGGTGCCAATTCTGAAAGTGGCAAATTACAAGCTTTAAAAATATCAATTCCTTTAGGACAAATTCCTAAAGATATATTTAAGACAATGAAAAAAAATGTGTGTACAAAACTGTTCTGGACTAGACTGGGATGCCACTTCTAACTCCCACTTTTAGTATGTCTACTTTTAGTATATTACCCCAAACACTATCTTATAGTGAATTGCCCTGTCCCGTTAAATTTGAATTTGAATGATCAACTAATATGACTGATAACATTTAAAAACACATACCTTCAAATGTTGGTCCATAAATCGACTCTCCACCATCTCCTTTTCCAGCCGTTATATCTGCAAAATAACAATAAACAAACAGAATTCTGAGACTAAAAAGGAAAGTACAATATTGGCAGGGGAAAAATGCTTAAAATTATCATTCCCCTTATTACCAATGACTACAGTAAGTTCTATACCATGAAAATATTACTATAATGTTTTCACTTGCATTTTATAAGCACTTTTACATTTAAGACCCTATTTTTTCCCTAATAATTCTTGGAGGTAGGTTAAATTATAATGTAAAACTTTGAAATGAAGTATTAAATTATAATTTTGATAATGACTTTTTAAAATGTGTTCATATAAATTCTGCTTACTTCACAAGTTATCCAATAGTCCATCTTGCTTTTCAGAAAAATGGAAAGATTAAACTGAGCAGATAAAATGAAAACAGATCTTTTTAGAGCAAGAATAAAAATAGATGCTTTAAGAAGAACTAATGTTCAAATTTTCATTCCTTAGAACCCTATAGTGATAACTTTCATTCCTTAGAATCCTATAATGATATCCAGTATTTTGGAAATCAAGTTCCTTTGTAATATAATGAGTTTTTTAAAGGTATTTATATTACCTATTTTGCATTATATAAATATTTTGGCTCAGACAATGTTCCTACTATAAAATTCCTCCATGTACAAGTTATTTTTAATCTATCCACAGCTAAAGGGGAAGCAAAGCTAATTCTAGTGAAACTAGAGGTCTCTGAGGTCTGTCGTCTGTGCCTCCAGCCTCCCCAATAGCTCTCTACTTCCTCAGCTCTCTAGTCCACCCTCCTTAAATAGTGTGCAATGAATAGCTGATAAAGGACTGTGCCGTTTTAACTCAGTTTGAGCAATTTATCTATATTAAAGATATCAGATGCAACAGCAAGCATGTGGAATTTTTACAGGATAGGACATGTAGCATTTAAGTTGTACTATTCACAGAGGTGGTTCAGAAGTTAATTGATAAACCTCAAGTCTCCAACCCCTTTCTGCCTGATACTCTCGCCTTGATTCACCCAGAGCCTTCAGCCGCTCTCAGAAGCATGCTGCAATGGCTGAAGGCTGAATCCGGGAATGAGGGTCCCCCAGTACCTATTTTAGATCCTAAAGTTTGCTTTGCTCAGACAAATCTGTCCAGATGGTTCCCATCCCCTGCTAACACTTAAACGCCAGTGACACTCCTTTGCCGTCCATCTAGCACCCACCATTACTCATGCTCTTTGCTTTAGATTTCTCAGGTGAATTTTTTATATTGACTCCTAACAGTATGTAATATTTTTTGTGGCCATAACCCACCCCCTTGAATTCAGCCTTGTATATCTGGTATTATTTCTATACGTCTGAAAACAAATTCAGCAATGCAGAGTAATGGTTAAAAGTAAACTTTAAAGCCTGATGATTCTGATTTAAATCTTGATGTTAGTTACCTTTTCCAAGCCTGTTTCCTCATCTGTATAGACGTGGATAATGGTAAGTTACTCCCAAGTAGTTCTGAGGATTAAGAAATCATGTAGGTAGAGCACTGAGTCAGCGCCTGGCAGAGCGTCATGCTCGTTCACGAGCAGCTGTTACTATGAGGCAGCATCGTGTGCTTACAGAATGCATCCTCTCATCATCATCTTCACCATCCTGACGATCGGCATGGTGGTGGTGATGATAAAATGTATTAAGCTATATTTCAAGAGATCCTTCTAAAGCCTAGACCTTCCAGGAACCACAGAGAGAGAATCCTACCAAAGTGGATTAATGACTTGTATCTTCTTTAATTCTGTACTTTAGAATGTAAGTTTCCCATTTAACTATCTGTTCATTCATTCATTCATTTGTTTATTCATTCTTTCAACAAATACTTTTTAGGCACCTATTATATGCCAGGCACTGTTCTCAAACCTGGGGCTACAACAGTGAACAAAACAGATAAAAATCTCGGCCCTCCTGGAATTTATATTCTAGTGAAGGGAAACAGACAATAAACAAATTAACTAAGAAATACAGAATAGTATGCCCAGTGGTGAAGAATTGGTGAAGATAAAGAAGAAACAATAAAGCAGGGTAAGGGGATAGGAGCGCATCGGGGAAGGAGTTGCGGAGAGGTGTGTGGGGAGGAAGGTGGCAGTTTTATTTATTTACTTTTTAATCCTAACCCGAGGATATTTTTTCCATTGCTTTTCAGAGAGAGTGGAAGGGAGAGAGAGGGACATCAATGTGAGAGACACATCGACTGGTTGCCTCCTGCAGCCTCCCAGGGGACTGAGCCTGCAACCAAGGTACGCTGTTCCCTTGACCTGGAGACCCTCCCGTCTGCGGACTGATGCTCTAACCACGGAGCAAGCAGCGAGGGGAAGTCAGCAGTTTTAAATAGGATCATCAGGTAAGTCCTAGCTGAGATGAACTCTGGGCAAAAACAGAAACAGAGCAGGGTGTGTGGCAAGGAGGACTAGCTGGGGACAGTATGTTCCAGGCAAAGAAACAACACTTCAAGGCACATGTATGCTTGATGTGCGAGGAGCTCAGTGTGTGGAGCAGAGGGAGTGCGAGGGAGATGTCAGAGGACAAGACGGGGCTGGGGGTTGGGGACAGTGAAGACTGTGTAGGGCCTATTAGTCCCAAAGGGCAAGCAGGAATGCCTGGAAGCATCCTAAGGCATGACACAAGATACATTTAGCTCCTGTACTACAGAATTCTACACACAGCCCTGAGGGAACCTGACATCCAAAGGGAGAAAGGGACAGAGCGTGGCACTTTCAATACACCATGCTGTTGAATCTTCAGCACATCCTGTGATATGATAATTACCCCCATTTTATAAATAAGAAACCAACCCAGAGATGCTAAGCGACTTATCCAATGTGCACATGTCAACTTGGGTTTGAACCTAGTAGTCAGAGTTTTTCTCCAAGCTGTCCTTAACATTGCTGCTTCACTATTTTGAAAACATGACCTAAGCTCTGTGCCCTTAACTATTTGGAAATTTTACTTCAAATGAAAAAACAATGAACATGACCTACTTTCCCAAAATCTTACTTGGGGAAGAGGAGGGTGTGAGGGTGGAGGGCAGGAAGGTCTAACCAAAAAACAAAACCAAGACAAAAAAGAACATAGCACCTGGGAGCCCAGCACATAAGAGTCAACACCAAACTAAGCATCAGGAGATCCTGATATTGAGCCCCTTGAGGACTTTTTTATACTAATAAAAAATTGAAAACAATCTAAATGTTCACCAACGGGGAATTAATGAAATTGGTATAGCAATATGATGAAAAATTAGGCAGACTGTAAAAATTTTATTCTTATGTGTACTGACATAGGAAGATACATAGCATATAAATTAAGTGGAAAAATAATGAGGTCAGGTGACAGTATTGGTGATCTGATCTCACTTTGGAGAAACTGAGGGGAAAATATAGGTGATTTACATACAACATGCTCAGGTTAAATCTGCATTTTTCTCATCAGCCTCAGAATGTTCCAGATTGTAGAAAAATAATTAAACATTATTAACGTAAACCTCTGCATATTTCATCAAGGTCAAGCAAATCTACACTAAGCCAATTTTTTTTTCATTAGTGTTGACATGTTATATTTTTTTCATTGTTTCACCTTCAGCCTTTCTGGGTTTTTTATTGACTTTATTGGGGTGACATTATTTAATACAATTACATAGGTTTCAGGTGTACAATTCTGTAATACATCACCTCTATATTGTACTGTGTGTTCACCACCCCAAGTCAAGTCTCCTGCCATCCCCATTTATCCCCCTACACCCTCTCCTACTTTCCCACCCCCTTTCCCTCTGGTAATCACCACACTGTTGTCTGTGTCTATGAGTTTTGGGGGGGTTTCCTAAGCCAATAATTTTTAAATTGCTGTTTGCTTCCTATGGGATAGTTCCCAAAAAGCCCCCCAAATTTAATTTTGTGCTGTTAACCAGGCACCTAGTCTGCATAAAGCCAAAGGACTGACCTGAAGAGAACGCAGAAAGGAAACCAAAATGCTCTAGATCTTACTTTTCAGTTGTAACAATGTCACATTGAGAAAAAGTGGTTTTCCATTTATTCTATTTTTAAATTCTCATCTTTACTATGTTTCTTAAAAGTACTGTATTTTCTAGGTACTCTTATTTATTTAGGTGAACATTTAAAGCTACATTTTGATTAAAAATGTTATCCCACTTTCTTATATGACTTTTTACTTAGAATACTCCTGGTAACGTACTTTAGATTTGTTTAACAATTGGGTAATTTTTTAAGAGTATCAGTATCTTAACTCATTATTTGGCTATGAAACATCCTTTAAATATATAGAACATCTAGTATTAAATATATCTAATTTTATATGCATTTTACAAAGGTAAATAAAATTCTGTACGTTCTGATTTGATGTTGCAATTAAGTTGTATTTCAGATTTTATGCTCACCTCCTCCTTGTATCCAAGCATTCTGTACTATTCGATGAAAACACGAACCAGCATAATGTAGCCTGATGCCACTTTTAGAAAACCCTGCTTTTCCTGTGCACAAGATCTGAAAATTTTTACATGTTTTGGGACACGCATCACAATATAGCTACAAAATAAAGATTAAATGTTTCAAATATTAAATATTTAACATTTTGACAGTTACAGATTCCCACACACCCCAACTTACTAAAAAATAAATAAATAACAAAAACCCCTCTTACCTCAAAAATCAGTCTTCCAACTGGATAAAAATCAATAGAAACATCCAAGAACACAAAATCATGCTATTAAATTCAGGAGAAAAAGACAGGTCAATATCTTGGAAAAAAATTTTAGAAATAACCAAAAATAAAACAATAATGTTTTTATTGATAAGAGGTCAACAGCATTAACAGTGGAGAACGTAACAACAAAATTAAAAGAATCACTTAAGAAATTTTGTTTCATTTTAGTATATCAAGTCTTTAAATCTAAGTAACACACTTTTTAAAACCCTTCAGTTACAAAGCTCTGAATAACATTAACCTGTCACCAAGACTGAGAACACATGGCCTAGATATATATCCACTACATCACAAACTAGATGTGGAAAGAACACCAGTCAGTCCCTTTGGGAAAAGAAGATGACTGGGAATTCTTTTCTGAGTAATTTTGGGAAAAGAGCCAATGGGAGGGCCATGGATTTGGTTACCATGTGTTCTGGATTTTCAGACAGCTCAGATTAGCTAACCAGAGCCAGGCCAGCCTTTCTGAGTGGGAAAAGAAGGCTCCTAAATCCACAGGAGGTGTGATTCCAGGGGCTGGGAAGAGGGACGCTGTGCTTTCGATGTTGTGCAATCATGTCCTCATGTTCCCAGAGGCCCCCAGCTCTTGTTTTCAATTGGCATCCTTTCTGATAGAGACAACTAACGTTTGTGAGATCTTGCCTAGCTCTACAAAGAGGCATCCAAAATGAAAACACTACTCTCCACCACAGTAGCATTCATTTAGGGAGCAGAGCATATCTAATGGAACACATTTCGAATCTGAAGACACCGTTCTCATACATAAAAATGCTGCCTGCTTTAACAAGGTACATAATTTTCCCTGCCTTGTTTCTTAAGAATCTAGGAAACATAAATAACTTTTAAATGTATCACTGTCATTAATTTTGTGTCACTCTAACCTTTTTTGAATTAAAAGACTGAAATAATATTGTGTATTCTGGCATCTATGCCAAGTATGATTAATTTGTGCCTCTCAGCTTCTGTACTACAATTTCTTAATTATAAAAGAATATTATCACGTGAGAATGAGAGGCATAATATAGTCAATTTCACAGGCTTAGGAGGAAAAAGAGAAGCTACTGAAAATCATGATTCCCTGTGCAACAATATCTTGTCTTTATGGGGTTGTCAAGACTAGATAATTCTGAACACTCTAATGAAGAGAGAGCAAACGAAGGCAACACAAGATAATGTCGCGGAGCAGCCAAACACAAACATAGCTATGTAGCATAGCAATCCAACCCAAAAGTAAGCAAGCCCCTGGGTTTTACTCAGCAAGAAAAACCTACCATTTGGGCCAAAAAAAGCTAAGGCTTTTCTCTGGAACCTGGCCTCCTCTCCTCACTGCCACTAGGTCACTCAAGCGCGCTCTCTAGCCCATTCCGCTACAGCGGCCTTCCAGGCGGCTGCCCTGCGCCACGCTTCCCTCACTGCAGCCCGTTTCTGCTCAGCCCTGAAAGTTTTTCCAAAAAAAGCAAAGAAGATTGTCATGCTCTTTATGAAAAGTTCCTTCTTGGTTCAGAATGGATGGTAAGTTCAACCTTTAGGGGTTTTTTTCCAACCTAACAGCTGAACACCTTTTCTACTTGCGGAATTCACCACAGGGCCCAGCCACCCTTTACAGAAAATAAAGGGGCCATATTCTCCCTCTCCCCATCCTGTGAGAGCCAGGATGTAGGGATATGACCTGCGATCCACTAGTTAGGTGCTCCTGCCTGGGCCTTAGCTCTCCAGGGAGTGACAAAGACACAAGGACAGCTGAGTAGTTGTTCTTAGTGAAGGTGGCAATTTGAACCCAGGCAAGTGGGTGGGTACCCATGGCCTATCCTGGCTGCATATTCCTGGGGGTGACTCTGGAATGTTCTCCTGTTGCCAGGCCTCCCTTGGTTCCTACCTGCTTTCCAAAGCAGTTCTCCAGCTTACCTGTCAATTCTGTGGTTACCAATATCCCTTCAATACATACCTTTTTCCCTTAAGTTAATCAGAGTAGCTTAGTATTGATGGCATCAAGAATCCTGACCAATACTGTTCTTTTCCCAGCCTGGTTTACCCACTAATTCTGGTCTCCTTGCTGTCCAAAGTTCCCATAGTACATCATGTACTTCTAGGCTCCTGTCGCTTTGGGAATTAACTATGAACATTAAATGCCTCCTCACACCCCAGAGTTTCTAGCGTTTTCCAACTGCATTGTTTATTCAACCAAACATTCACTGAGCACCTACCATGTTTCAGATTCTGTTCCAGGCAGTGGTTAAACAGAGGTGCAAGATACTGGTCTTTGCCTTTGCACAGCTCAGAAAGGCCCTGGATTTTTCTGTGCACCCAGACCACCATAAGCATGAAGTGATTTTCAGCATGAGGTAGTTGTTGCTACAAAGCTTGTGAGCAAAATTACAAAGTACTTTTATCTCTATTGCCATGCTACCCTGATGTCTTGTCTCTCGCTCTCTGGACCTCAAACTTCATGACTGTCCTCTGCCACCAGAAACCTCAATGCCATAGCCTGTATGGTTCCAGTCCTACTCTCACCAACTAGGTGTCATGCTTTAAAATGTCACCTTTCTTCCCAAACTTTCCATCATTCTCTTAGTGTAGCAGCTGTCACTGAGGTGTTAGAAAATATGAATTAAAATATTCCACACTAAAGGTGAACGAGTGAAAGGCTTGACCTTTTCTGAGGGGGAGTCTTTATATTTTAAAATGAGTGATGATGCATTTAAACCTCTAAGGGAAGTGGAACTGTTTGAACGGGGGTGCTCCTGCCTGCTGTGTGATATGCTTGGTTAACACACCACCAAGCCAAACTTAGCCCTTTTATAATCCTTTGCAAACCTGGTCTTGTGCTCTTTTATATTCCCTTCATTAGGATATCAGTAACTAACTCTGAATCAACATAAATCACCAAAGATTTCACTACTTTTCTTTAAAAATTAGTGTAACTTGCCTTGGTGTCTCTTAAGAATTTAGCAGAATAGTCCACAGTAAGTGCCTCATAAAGTGCATGGGGCTTATAGTCAACTATATCCCACACCTTCTGGGCCCATTTCTGAAGTTCAAGTGCATCACCCAGGAGCTGGTCATTAACGAAACACATGACATAGGAAGAATACTCCCAGACTTCATTCTTAAGTTCCTATAAAGGAAAAGGACCGGAAAAAAGGTCACGAAAAAGGAAAAACAAAAAACAAAACATGCTAAACCCACAAGCCACAGCTTGGGTTCAACTCTAGAACTAAATCTTTAAAAAAATATATATTTTGCCACCCCTCAGAATTTTGCCCTCAAAAGGAACTTAAGAACATTTCTCATGACTCTGACATTACTTAAAGCAAAGAATGCCCTAAACGTAATCGTGAAAATGGTATAATCATAGAAAATAGATGGTAATCTGGTCATAAAAATCTGTGCGTGTGGCAAACTTGTTGCATTAACGTGAGGACAAAAGGCAATCTCGGCCTCATTTCTGAAGCACGTTCACTGTGTGCACACGTGGAAGTGCATACACGGGAAGGTGGGGCGCCGAGACATGGTTTTCAGTGCCCAGGGTGGAAAGAATGCTTCATTGACGGGAGGGTGTGTGTCAGGGTGAGGAAACGCCTCCTGAGGGCCAACAAGGACTTCTGGGCACCCCAGGGGCGGTCCCGAAGAGGACTCACCTGCATCAACATTTCAAGCACCCAGCCCTTCAAAATGAAGTGCCTTTTCACCCACAGGACACGGCCAGTCAACCTCCTAAATCCCAGAGTGTGGCCACTGAGGAATGTCCCCTCCGAGGAGACCTGCTTTATTATTCCCACTGCCAATCCTGCTCATTTGGGACAGCTATTCACTAATTTCAGTGGGCAACCAGAATTGCAGATTCCTAAACCCCAACTGAGTTTCTGATTCTGGGGTGGGGCCTGAGAATTTGCATTTCTAACAACATCCCAGGAGGTGCGAATGAGGCTGGTCTGGAGGCTGCATTTAGAGGAGCGGTGGTTTGGGGAACAGCCTCCCATGCCCTTATCAAAGCCTGCTTCAAGAAAGAGAATACACTTGTTCAGGCTGAACTGTAAACCACTAGCTGTTTGAACCAATCAGCGTTATCACATTTCACAGGACACAAAACTTTGGCAAGGGGAGAAAAAGTTTGTGGCTATTTTCGTTTGCATGGTGGGAGAAATGCAGGAGGTACACTTGACTCAGGCTGAAGAGGTAAATGCCTCGACTGTGTGTGTCTCTTGCTTGCCTCAGGGGAGAGGCTCTCCAGCACTATGATGGGCAGTATGTTGCTGCCAGGAGAGAGGAGGG